AAACTAACGAGTGGGACGCTTAGGCCGTTTTTATTTTCATGTTTTGCGGCCTCCGAGGGATATTGCAGAAGCAGCACAGTTGCTCTTGAGTTCTGGCCCTCGTCATCATCTTCGGTTCTTATTTTGCAGCACCTCAAATGTTATCCGCATCAGGAAATTGCGTTTTACTTGTATTCCAAAGCGCAATTACAGGACTTGGCAAAGTGCCAAGAGCGCTGCGCGCGACACGCGCCGCGCGGACGGCTGTTAGCATAAACGGGAGTCTGCGCCGCAAAAGGCGGAGCATGGAGGAATTAGCGTGTTTCACGGTCCTGTATCTCCATTCCTGCGCATGTTAGGACGGGGAAACCGCTACGCTTCGACAGCTGCGGGGCTGATAGATGTGTGGTCGCACCATGTGTCTTTAAGTACTAGCAGCACACTCGCGAGCGCAAGATGCTCATCGCATATCGATACCATGCCACACGTTGCGGATAGCGGGCAGAGACCTGAAAGAACACCCGGCTATCGTGACAGTTTAATATTACTGCCACTATTTTTCAAGTGGTAACTTTCTACAGCTTCAGACTTTCCAGCTTTGCTTATGAATAAGATAAACTTCACAGATATACGTTTAATGTCCTTTGAAGCAAGATTTGGTTGCCATGAAGCTGAGTTCAACAGTTTGAGGGCAATTATATTGGAAGAGGAGAGGGAAGGGCTTGGCCGAAACACTCAGAGTAATTGCTCAATACACGCGCTGCTTCACAGGTTCAAAATGAAATCATTACCCCCTCAGAAACAACAGCATTCAAGTGAGCAACAAGAAGAGAATGCCCGAACCAAATCTACACGGCATTCACTTTATCACATCAGTGAGCAAATTATAAGAAGTGAACAAAAACTAAAATCTCACATGCAACCGTTGGCGCTTCCGCAAATAGTACAGCCATTGGAGAACTTGTTGATCTTCTATGAACTTTGCATTTGCTCCTGAAGTTGTGATCATCTAGAACGTGAATGTACCGCATATAACCGAGGAAAATGGCAAACCTGAAGTAAGCGCCTCTCGAAAATTATTGCATTGAAGACATTCGAGAATATGCAGGCATTGCGGGTACTTCAAAGCCCTGTAGGCAAACATTTAAAAAGTTTTCTATATTAAGGGGTCTAAGCTAATATGATCAATACAAGTAGACTATTCAATCCCTGACCAGAATAGAACACAATGACTGATTGACAGCTGTTACAGGGAACAGGGACTCATCAACCTAACTGACGGCCGATTTTCAAGAATACTGTACAGATCAGGGTCTAGCGTATGTCGCGGTAACGCGACATGGGGGTCGTATGTTTCTGCCCTTTGCTATGTCTGAACAAAGCTACTTCCATCGAAAGAACAAAAACTCGCATTCGTCAAAACTTTTCCGCGCTATTTAGTCACTACCCGCTATAGTAGCCCTACAACAGATACGTTCTGCCTGATGACGGGGCATAGTCTTCTATTAGGTTGTCCGGAAAGGAATGCGCGTTGAATTTTTTGAACTTGTCCATTTTTTTCTCTCCTACTATAGAAGATTTTTGGAGACAGTTTTGTCTATTAGAAAGAGATTTTTATTGTGCTTCTTTTGATATATTTTTGTCCATGTCTACTTTGCTTTTTTTGGGGAAAAAAGTTGGGAAGAGCGGGTGCCGCACCAGCTGAGCGACGCAAACAAGGCAACACGAGTGGCAATGGCCGGAATTCTTCTTCGTCGCTCCAAGAACAGCGGTTTTTTCGACTCTATTATTA